TTTATCAATATATGGGTGAATTTTCTTAATGGCTTTATTAGCCAGAAACAGCCACTCCAGAATATTATTATCTTGGTGTAAAACGGCCATTGGCGAATGGGGAGTATGAAAAAGACACAACGAAAGTGGAAGATTGGGTGCAATATAATCAAGGTGAGCTTCACTAATTCTATTTTCTACAAATGACAATTCTTTTTCTGCTACAGGGGATAATTGACGAGAACTATTTAAACCTGAATCTCCTTCTAAGGTAGCAAATAGATGTCACAATTTGTAAGTAGGGATGATAAGAGCTGGATTAGGAAGCCCAGGTTGTAAAGTCCCCATAGGTTGAATACAAGCATTTACAGTTCTAAGATCAGTTAATAAGTGCCATTTTTCACTTTTCTTTTTAATGACAAACACAAGGGAATTCCATGCAGAAGTACTTGGTTTAATATGCCCCTCGGCCAATTGTTCCTTAACTAAATTCTTTAAAGCCTTAAGTTTTTCTTTAGATAATGGCCACTGTTCCACCTAAACAGGAGTTGTAGTTTTCCACTTCAATTGTAAAGCTTGAGGCTTGTGGACAGTGGCTAAGAGTTTAAAGGATTGTAGCCCATTTTGAACATCATATTTTTGGCAGCTGAAGAAATATGAGGAATGCTTAAAAAGGCACCAAATTGTTGTAAAAGATCACGGCCCCAAAGGTTAATATTAATGGGAACAATATAAAAGAACACTTTTCCTTGTTGTCCTTCAGGTCCTACACAGCTCAGGGGCTCGACACTTTGGCAGACTACAGAAGCAGTACCTAGGCCAGATAGAGTAACCGATACTTGTTTCTTTTTCCAATGATCAGGCCATTGAGCCAAACATATAATAGATACCTCCGCTCCTGTGTCGACTAATCCCTCAAAAAGTATCCTATTAATTTGCAATGAACATAAAGGTTTTTGATCAGAAACTAAAGTTTCCCAGAAAACAGTTTTCCCAGTACTACCGAAACCTCCTTGATGAGACACATCTCTAGATAGGAAAGGAAAAAAAGGCAATAAAAGCAATTGTGCAATACGTTCCCCTGCCTCTAGGTGCATAAATTGTGAGACTTGTACCATAATAAGGATTTCATCAGTAAAATAAGGATCAATAATTCCTGTGACCACCATTAACTCCTGCATAGCGCTGCTGCTTCGACCTAACAAAAGTCCTACATGTCCCTTTGGCAAAGGGCTACACGCTCCAGTAGTTAACTTATATATTTCTGTGGGGAAAAGAAAGAGAGATCAGCCTATTACTGTGTCTATATAGAAAGAAGTAGACATAAGAGACTCCATTTTGTTCTGTATTTGAGATGCTGATAATCTGTGACCCTACCCCCAACCTTGTCCTTGCAAGAGACATGTGCTGTGGTGACTCAAGGTTTAATGGATATTGGGCTGTGCAGGATGTGCTTTGTTAAATAAGTGCCTAAAGGCTGCTTGCTGGTTAAAGGTCATCACCATTCTCTTAATCTCAAGTAAGAGAAAAGCATTTGTCTCCTGCCCGTCCCTGGGCAATGGAACATCTCCGTGTAAAACCCGATTGTATGCTTTGTTTACTGAGCAAGGAGAAAACAGCCTTTAGGAATAAGGTGGGACTTGCTGGCGCAATGCTGCTAAAAGGTTTATGGAGATGTTTGCATATGTATCTCAAGGCACAGCATTTTCCTTTAAACTTATTCATGTCATGGAGATTTTTGTTCATATGTCTTACTGCTGATTTCCTCCCTCCAATGATCCTATTGTCCAGCCACTACCTTATCTTTAAGATGGTAAAGATAATTATCAATAAATACTAAGGGAACTCAGAGACTGGGCCGGTGTGGGTCCTCTGTAAGCTGAGCGCCAGTCCCCTGGGCCCACTTTTTCTCTATACTTTGTCTCTGTGTCTCATTTCTTTTCTCAAGTCTCTCGTTCCATCTAACAAGAAACGCCCACAGGTGTGGAGGGGCAGGCCACCCCTTCATATTCCTCCATTAGGAGACAGAGTATAAGGTTGAGTAATAGTTAAGTCAGCAGCAGCACTCTGCTTAGTTGCAGCATAAAGCTGGGAAACAGGGGTATGGGGTGATACCCTTAAGGATGACTCGAAGTCATTCCTTGATGTTGTAAGCCATCGCTCACTGGGTATTGTGGTAGGCCTGCATTGTATTTGTTGGGGCCCCAAGCCTGTGGGCCACGGTTCCCGTTTCTCCCGGGAGGGGTGACAATAAATTTCCACTCTTACCAGTTTTTGAACGGCATTCATTTGTCCAATGTCGACCTTTTCCACATCGTTTGCACTCCCCAGAGGGTAACTTTTTCTCTTTTAGAGCAGAAGAGCCTAATTTTTTCCGGCATTCCTTTTTAAAATGACCGGGTTTCCCACACTGATAGCATATACCTTGTTTAGAATTGCCTTTTAAAGCCTTAGAAAGTGCCCCAGCAAACAATTGAGCATTGTAAATAGCTCCCCCAACACCTGCACAAGCCCGAATATACTCATCTAAATTAGCTCCACTGGCCTTTAAAGGTCTTAATAATTTTTGTTGCAGCTTTCATTTCTTTCAAAAATTTAAATTGTAGGGCTGTAAAAGTCACATTCTGGCCACCGTTTGGGAACTGAGCATTGGGGCTGAAAGCAGCCCGTGTTATTGGGAATAGATCTAATTCCTCGAAAGCATCCTTTTCCTTCAATTCCTTCTTTTCTCCTACAGGAGGGAAAGGCACAGAGAAAACCTGACCTGACATAGGCAAAGAGGTTGGAGGTGGAGGCAAAGGGAAATCCTTTTCCAAAGGAGCAGAAGGGAAGGTAACAGGGAAGGTTCGTGGTGGAGAGATAGGAGAAACAGGAGCAGCAGTACCTTGCAATTTTAACAACCGTTGTAGCATCTCTAAAATACGCTGCAAATCAGAATTTCCTTCAGATGAAGGAGGCATTCGCTCTTTTTCCAATTCCTTGTCCTCAACAACTGGGGCATAAATATGTTCCTCTCTAGGATCATTCCTCTCTAAAGCTTCAGATGCCTCACCTCCTGTGGCAGTATCTCCCCGCTCTGAGTCAGTTTCAAGTAACTCTAATGCCTGAGTAATGGAACTACACAAAGTCCACAAAGTAACCATTCCTTTCGATTTAACTGCACTTTGGTTAGATATTGAAACCAATAACAATGTTGTTCAACATGGGCAAACAATCGCTTCAAAGTCTTTTCTTTTACTTCTACTCCTATAGGCATCAACAGTCCCTGGAGTAACCGCAAATATTCAGAGGCCAGAGAGGTGGAATTCCCTATAATTTTCCTGTGGGTCCCCCTTCATTTATTTACCTGCCCGGGGTGTTCCCCCTCCCGTTCCTTGCTCTCATGGAGCCACGGACACTGCTCGGGGTCCACGTGTTTCCTAAACAAAGGAATGAACACACAAGACAACACAAGACAAGATGAACATGGCGGCCGCCCCGAACTGCACACTCTGCTTTATTTTATACAGTCCCTTAGTGAAATGTTGCCAAGTCACAAGACACATTGTTGTTTTTCTGACCTTTCCCTGATTTTCTGGATTTTCAAGATGTTTACACATAAACAAGCCCCCAGGGTCTGCAGTTTGCATCTAGCTCCTTTGTCCTCCCTGTTTGCAGGGAAGGAACGCCCTGCTTCCTTTGCAAGAGCAGGACTTATCAGGAATGCCCTGCTTCCTTTGCAAGAGCAGGACTTACCGGGAACATCTCGTTTGCGAGCACGTAGTCCTCTACAGGTGAGGGACAGTGTTAGTGCCACAATTCAGGAGTGACAGGGTGGCGGGGACTAAGGGGAGAGGAGGGTGTGAGGGATGAGAAGGGCAGAGAGAAGGGCTGGAGAAGCAGGAGGTGAGGAAAAGGAGAAGGGGAAAGAATTCTAAAGCAGGGGAAGAGCCTAGCAGGGGGTTCTTTGCATTCAGTATTTAATACATTTTGTGGGACTGCCAAAAACCTAATTGATTCCTTACGATTAAAACAAACAAACAAAAAAACAGTTACAAAAATACCAAGTGTCCAGATAAAATATGCACACTGCTTAGATGTGCAGAGTTCAGGAAAACAGGCAGTGTTTGAGCGTCGGTGAAGAGCATTGGGACTGCATGGAGCACTCGCAACTTTGAGGTGATGACTACAGGCTCCCGGTTAAAATAGACACTAGCAAACCTTCTTTGTATTCAGGAGATGTTCTGGACTCATGCAGGGAAACTCGGGCTAGGGAATGAAGATAATTTTAAATGCAACAAACCAGAGTAACAGATCCATAGTCTGCGAAAGTAAAAGTTAGGAGCTTTGAGAGTTTAATTGTAATGCTGTTTTGACACAGGTCTCTTACAGATTGGAATTCTAATCATTCAGGGATTATCAATATTGTGCTACCTACTGTATTAATAAACAAAAAGGAAACTGGTCTCTATGAGAATCTCTGTGTGGTGCCTTCAGACAAAACTTCACCAGGTTTAGAGAGAAAACCCCTGTCTCTACACCTCCATTCCCAGGGCGAGCTCACTCCGGCATGAAGTTCCCCGTGGTGAGTTTCCCTGCACAAAGGTCCAAGGGGAGAGGTATGGAGTGGGAGGCAGGGAGTCCAGTTCAGGGACGGGGATTCCAGGACGAGTAGTGAAGGGGAAGGGGCTGGGTGCAGCCTCGGGGTCTCTCCCTGATTTCCAGACAGATACTTGTCCAGGACTTGGGCAGACAGGGGGACAAAGAGGCTTGGTGTAGGAGAGGGATCAGGACGAAGTCGCAGGTCCCGGGTGTGGCTGTCAGGGTCTCAGGCTCCCAGAGCCTTGTCTGCATTGGGGAGGCGCTGGGTTGATGATTCCCCACTCCCCTGAGTTTCACTTCTCCCAATCTGTGTCGGGTCCTTCTTCCAGGATACTCACGACAAGTCCCCAGTTCCCACTCCCATTGGGGGTCGGGTTTCTAGGGAAGGCAATCAACGTCGCCCGGTTCCAGTTCTAAAGTCTCCACGCACCCACCCGAACTCAGAGTCTCCTCAGACGCCGAGGGTCATGGTGCCCCGAACCCTCCTCCTGCTGCTCTCGGGGGCCCTGGCCCTGACCGAGACCTGGGCCGGTGAGTGCGGGGTCTGGAGGGAAATGGCCTCTGCGGGGAGGAGCGAGGGGACCGCAGGCGGGGGCGCAGGACCCGGGGAGCCGCGCGGGGAGGAGGGTCGGGCGGGTCTCAGCCTCTCCTCGCCCCCAGGCTCGCACTCCATGAGGTATTTCAGCACCTCCGTGTCCCAGCCCGGCCGCGGGGAGCCCCGCTTCATCTCCGTGGGCTACGTGGACGACACGCAGTTCGTGCGGTTCGACAGCGACGCCGAGAGTCCGAGGATGGAGCCGCGGGCGCCGTGGGTGGAGCAGGAGGGGCCGGAGTATTGGGACCGGGAAACGCGGAACGCCCAGGGCCACGCACAGACTCACCGAGAGAACCCGCGGACCCTGCTCCGCTACTACAACCAGTGCGAGGCCCGTGAGTGACCCCCGCCCGGGGCGCAGGTCACGACCCCTCCCCATCCCCTAACGGACGGCCCGGGTGGCCCCGAGTCTCTGGGTCCGAGATCCGCCCCGAGGCCGCGCGACCCGCCCAGACCCTTGACCGGAGAGAGCCCCAGGCGCCTTTACCCGGTTTTATTTTCAGCTGAGGCCGAAGTCCCAGCGGGTTGGTCGGGGCGGGGCTCGGTGGGCGGGGCTGACCGCGGGGGCGGGGCCAGGGTCTCACACCATCCAGAGGGTGTTTGGCTGCGACCTGGGGCCTGACGGGCGCCTCCTCCGCGGATATAACCAGCACGCCTACGACGGCAAGGATTACATCGCCCTGAACGAGGACCTGCGCTCCTGGACCGCAGCGGACACTGCGGCTCAGAACACCCAGCGCAAGTGGGAGGCGTGCGGTGAGGCGGAGGAGTGGAGAGCCTACCTGGAGGGCGAGTGCCTGGAGTGGCTCCGCAGACACCTGGAGAACGGGAAGGAGACGCTGCAGCGTGCGGGTACCCTGCAGGGGCTGTGGGGAGACTTCCCTGTCTCCTATAGATCTCCCCGGATGGCCTCCCATGAGGAGGGGAGGAAAATGGGATCAGCGCTAGAATGTCGCCCTCTCTTGAATGAAGAATGGCATAAGTTTCCCTGATTTCCTCTAAGGGCCCCCTCTGCTCTCTAGGACAATTAAGGGATGACGTCTCTGAGGACATGGAGGGGAAGACAGTCCCTAGAATACTGATCAGGGGTCCCCTTTGACTCCTGCAGCAGCCTTGGGCTTTGTGACTTTTTCCTCTCAGGCCTTGTTCTCTGCCTCACACTCAATGTGTCTGAAGGTCTGATTCCAGCTTTTCTGAGTCCCTCGGCCTCCACTCGGGTCAGGACCAGAAGTCCCTGTTCCTCCCTCAGAGACTAGAACTCTCCAAGGAATAGGAGATTATCCCAGATGCTTGTGTCCAGGCTGGTGTCTGGCTTCTGTGCTCCCTTCCCCACCCCAGGTGTCCTGTCCATTCTCAGGATGGTCACATTTGTGCTGCTGGGGTGTCCCATGAGAGATGCAAAGCTCCTGAATTTTCTGACTCTTCCCATCAGATCCCCCAAAGACACACGTGACCCACCACCCCGTCTCTGACCATGAGGCCACCCTGAGGTGCTGGGCCCTGGGCTTCTACCCTGCGGAGATCACACTGATGTGGCAGCAGGATGGGGAGGACCAAACTGAAGACACCCAGCTTGTGGAGACCAGGCCTGCAGGGGATGGAACCTTCCAGAAGTGGGCAGCTGTGGTGGTGTCTTCTGGAGAAGAGCAGAGATACACGTGCCATGTGCAGCACAAGGGGCTGCTGGAGCCCCTCACCCTGAGATGGGGTAAGGAGTGGGTTGAAGGATCATGTCTCTCCTCAGGGAAAGCAGGAGCCCTTCTGGAGCCCTTCAGCAGGGTCAGGACCCCTCACCTTCCCCTCCTTTCCCAGAGCCATCTTCCCAGTCCACCATCCCCATCGTGGGCATTGTTGCTGGCCTGGCTGTCCTAACCTTTTTGGTCACTGGAGCTGTGGTCGCTGCTGTGTTGTGGAGGAGGAAGAGCTCAGGTAGGGAAGGGGTGAGGGGTGGAGTCTGGGTTTTCTTGTCCCACTGGGGGTTTCAAGCCCCAGGTAGAAGCGTCCTCCGCCTCATTAGTGAAGGGGTGGCCTGCCCCTCCACACCTGTGGGCATTTCTCGTTAGGTGGAACGAGAGACTTGAGAAAAGAAATGAGACACAGAGACAAAGTATAGAGAAAGAAAAAGTGGACCCAAGGGACCGGCGCTCAGCATACAGAGGACCCACATTGGCACCGGTCTCTGAGTTCCCTTGGTATTTATTGATAATTATCTTTGCCATCTTAAAGAAAAGGAAGTGGCAGGATAATAGGATCATTGTAGGGAGAAAGTCAGCAGTAAAACATATGAATAAAGTTCTCTGTGACATGAATAAGTTTAAGGAAAAGTGCTGTGTCTTGATATGCATATGTAAACGTCTCCATAAACCTTTTTAGTGCATAAAGAGCAGCATTGTGCTAGCAAGTCCCGCCTTTCGCCCTAAGGCGGTTTTCTCCTTTCTCAGTAAACAGAACATAGGATGGGGTTTTATACTGAGATGTTCCATTGCCCAGGGACGGGCAGGAGACAGATGCTTTTCTCTATTTCAACTGCCAACAACTGCCAAGAGGGCTTCTTTCCTCTTGTACTAGTCCTCCTCAGCACAGACCCTTCACGGGTGTCAGGCTGGGGGACGATCAGGTCTTTCCCTTCCCACGAGGCCATATTTCAGACTATCACATGGGGAGAAACCTTGGACAATACCTAGCTTTCCTAGGCAGTTGTCCCTGCGACCTTTGGCAGTGTGCATGTCCCTGGGTACTTGACATTAAGAGAATGGTGATGACTTTTAACCAGCAAGCTGCCTTCAGGCACTTGTTTAACAAAGCACACCCTGCACAGCCCAAAATCCTTTAAACTTTGAGTCACCATATCACATGTCTCTTGCAAGGACAAGGTTGGGGGTAGGGTCACAGATTAACAGCATCTCAAATACAGAACAAAATGGAGTCTCTTACGTCTACTTCTTTCTATATAGACACAGTAACAGTCTGATCTTTCTTTCTTTTCCCCACAATTACTGGGAAGCAGCATCCACACATGGGCCATCCCAGCCTGGGGCCCTGTGTGCTGGCACTTACTCTTTTGTGAAGCACATGTGACAATGAAGGACAATGTATCACCTTGATGGTTGTGGTGTTGGGGTCCAGATTCCAGCATTCATGAGTCAGGGGAAGGTCCCTGCTAAGGACAGACCTTAGGAGGGCAGTTGGTCCAGAACCCACACCTGCTTTCCTGGTGTTTCCTGATCCTGCCCTAGGTCTGTAGTCATAGTTCTAGAAACTTCTCTTGGGTCCAAGACTAGGAGGTTCCTCTAAGATCCCATGGCCCTGCCTCCTCCCTGTCCCCTCACAGGACATTTACTTCCCGCAGGTGGAAAAAGCGGGAACTACTGTAAGTGGCGGGGGCAGGAGTGTGAAGGAGCTCACCCACTCCATTATTCTTCCTGCACCATGTCTCCTGCGGGCTCTGACCAGGTCCTGTTTTTGTTCTACCCCAGGGAGCAGCAGTGCCCAGGGCTCTGATCAGGACTCTGATGAGTCTCTCATGGCCTGTAAAGGTGAGACCCTGGGGATTTGAAGTGGGTGGGGGTGGGGCAGAGGGGAAAGGCCTGGGTAATGGAGATTCTTTGACTGGGATGTTTCGAGTTTGTGGGGGGACTGTTCAGAGTGTCATCACTTACCATGACTGACCTGAATTTGTTCATGACTACTGTTTTCTGTAGCCTGAGACAGGTGCCTTGTGTGGGACTGAGATGCAGGATTTCTTCACACCTCCCCTTTGTGACTTCAATAGCTTCTGGCATCTCTTTCTGCAAAGGCATCTGAATGTGTCTGCGTCCCTGTTAGCATAATGTGAGGAGGTGGAGGGACAGCCCACCCCCGTGTCCACCATGACCCCTGTTCCCACGCTGACCTGTGTTCCCTCCCCAGTCATCTTTCCTGTTCCAGAGAGGTGGGGCTGGATTTCTCCATCTCAGTCTCAACTTCATGCTGCATTGAGCTGCAACCTCTTACTTCCCTACTGAAAATAAGAATCTGAATAGAAATTTGTTTTCTCAATATTTGCCATGAGAAGTTGATGGGTTAATTAAATAAGTCAATTCCTAAAATTTGAGAGAGGAAATAAAGACCTGAGAACCTTCCAGAATCCACATGTTCGCTGTGCTGAGTCTGTTGCAGGTGGGAACTGGAGAAGGCTGTGAGGAGCCGAATGTGGACGGGGCCTGTGCCCAGTTGCTGTTCAGTCCCTCATAGGCTTTATGTGGTCAGTCCTCAGCTGGGTCACCTTCACTGCTCCATTGTCCTTGTCCCTTCAGTGGAAACTTGTCCAGCTGGAGCTGTGACCACAGAGGTTCACACATCACCCAGGGTGGCCCCTGCACACGGGAGTCCCTGTGCTTTCTGAGACAAATTTTCAGATCCATTCAATTCTGCCCTCCTTCTAGGGCTCCTCTTCTGCTCTGCTCTCCTGCCCTCTCTCCCTGCCCTGGTTCTAGTGATCTTGGTGCTGGCTCAAATCCCAACTCAAATCTAAAACAGAGTGAAATTTAGGTTTATACTTGTTTGTGAAATTGGACCCATCATCAAGGACTGTTCTTTGATTTTGAAGAGAGAAACCTGAATGTGTGCTGTGGTGTGTGGGGGGGTTGGTGTGGGAGGAAGGACAGCGAGGGAGGACCACAAGCAGCACTGCTGAGAAAAGCACAGGCAGCCTCGGTGTCAGTGTGAGGGGACCTTGTGCTGTGGTCACCACAAAACAGCATTTGGCCTGAAGCTATGTTAATAAAGATACTGGCTTTAGAATAGGGAGGTGCTCTACACTGATCATTCATTCAACTGACCTTTGTTGTCAGCCAGACATAGGACAGAGTGGTTCTGCATCTGGGGAACATCACTGAAGTAAAATGAGAAAAATCTCTGACCTTGGGTAGCATGTGTTCCAATGCGAAGAGGCAGACGAAAGATACATTATAACCAGAGCAAGGGAAGAAAGTGCTAGAAGGTGGTAAGTGCTGTGAGACAGGTGACCCAGGGTGTGGGCAGTGGGGACAGGGAAGGTGGCTGTTGTGCTGGGGTGGTCAGTGTGTGCCACGTTGCAAAGGTGAACTTTGAGGAAAGATTTGAGGGACATGAGGAGTTGTCCATGAGGATGTCTGGGGAAGTTCTTTCCAGGCAGTGGATCCTCCAGTTCAAATGTACTGGAGCAGGAAGGTGTCTGTGTTTCCTGAAAAGCAAGGAGGCCAGGAGGGCTGGACAGAGAGAAACTGAGGTGAGGTCAGAGGTACAGCCAGAGCAGGTGGGCTTGAGGGGAGTGGGGAAGGATCTGACCTTTGCTCTGAGTGAGATGGGAGGTAGAGGACAATTTTGAGCAGAAGAAGGACATGGTACAACTACCTATTTATTTATTTATTCATTTATTCATTTATTTAAGATGGAGTCTTGCTCTGTCACCTAGGCTGGAGTGCAATGGCATGATCCCCGCTCACTGCACCTCCGTCTTCCAGGTTCAAGCGATTCTCCTGCCTCAGCCTCCTGAGTAACTGGGATTACAGATGCCCACCACCAAGCCCGGCTAATTTTCGTAGTTTTAGTAGAGACAGGGTTTCGCCATGTTGGCCAGGCTGGTCTCAAACTTCCAACCTCAAGTGATCTGCCCGTGTTGGCCTCCCAAAGCGCTGGGATACAGGCGTGAGCCACCAAGCCCAGCCACAACTTCTCTTCTAAAAGGATCTCTGACTGCTGTGCTGAGAACAGAATTGAGAGGTGAGGGACGAGGGAGGCAGAAGGGAAGAACAGTAGGAAGCGAGTGCAGTATTCCAGGCTGGAGATGTCGGTGACTTTGACTGGGGTGTGAGCAGGGGAAATAGTGGGACGTGAGGGGATTCTGGATGCATTTGAAGATGGACTGACAACATGTGCCAATGGATTGTATCTGTGATGTGAGAAAGACGAATCAAGGACACTCATAGTTGTAAAATGAGTGAGTAGAAGGATGGAGCTGCTGTCAGTGGAGATGGGGAGACTCCGGCAGGAGCATACTGAGGAGGGGGCATCACAGGCACTCAGTGGAGGAGATGTCTACTAGGAATGCAGGTGAAGGAGCTGGGGTGGAATTTAGACAGACAACTCCAGAGTTTAGGGGAAAGGAGAAATAGACTGGGCAGGAGAAATAGATTTAGGAGCTCACACTGTATAAATGATACTTAAAACCTCAAGCATGGATGAGGGCACCAAGGGAGTGGTTGACTATGGAAAAGAATGAGGGCAAGGACAGAACCCTGGACCTCCAGTTCTAAGGGATCTGAGCAGACCACACCCAGAGCAGACTGCACAGTTCTGACCCCAAGTCTAGAGGACACTTAGACAAGGAACTCCCATGTCCACAGGGATCACCTGGACGTGGTGCTGAGATCCAGGAAGTCCGGAGTTAAACAAGAGATTCTTGATTTATGACAAGGCTGGAGCTCATGCTGCTGGTCTCCAGATCAAGAACACCAGGATCCCACATGTCTGAGCATCAGCCTTGCCTATAGGGCTTGTTATATAAGTGATTCCTTGGTCTTGTGCCTAATATTCTGAGACAGGGATTCTGGGGAGTGGCCTGTGTATTTTCTAAGCCCCGCCAGCAATCCTGTTGCTCAGCCAGATCGGGAACCACTGAGATCAGAGATCAGAGAGTGCCCAGGGTGGGTGGGTGGGGTGGGTTTTCAAACCCTGTTTAAAAGAGGATTTTTCTCACAGAAAGAAAAGGGAGGATGTGTATCATCAGTTATGAGATGTGACATTCCCTGTTGTTCTCTCCACCATGGGGTAGAGGCCAGGTAGAGTTCAGGATGTGGCTCTCGCACAAGGAACACCTCTGAATGCTGCTCTCTGACACTCGCCCACAGACTCATTTCCCACTCACTTCTTGGAGAAAACCGTGGAAACCAAATTTCTCTAATTTACACATACAGTAGCATACATGGTATTGGGGGCTAATTTTATTGTGGGGAAGGCCATAGAACTAGGCTGGAATCTACACATCCAGGAACAGAATCCATAGCCCACCCTGGATCAGGTCCCTCCTAGGAACAACTGCCCCTGCTGCTGAGCACAGACGCCACTGCTCACACCTCTGACACCCTGGTGCTGGACACTGGACCCTGAGGCCAGGGGAGACGTCACTGCTGCACCTAGAAATTGGACATCACTACTGCCACTCAGCCATCTTTACTAAAATGTGTTCTGCACAGTCCCAGCCTTTCTGTGTCACCTCATTCTGGCTCAGAGGCTGGCAGTGATATAGGAGTTAAGAAGAAATTATTTAGGCAGATAGTGAGGGTATGGAAGTCCTCAGTAAGGTTTTCCTTTTAATGAAATGCAGCCCACAAGTCATTTTCTTTTCTAACAAAGAGCAGCCTGTAAAATTACTACATCTAATAATAGGGATAGACTCCAGTACAATAATAGTGGGGACTTCAACATCCTACCCTCAGCATTAAACAGATCATCTACACAGAAATCAAGAAGAAACATTGGATTTAAAAGGAACTTTAGAACTCATAATGCTAACAGACATTTACAGAGCATTCTATCTAACACTATAGAATATACTACACTCTTTTCATAACACATGGAGTATTTTCTGGGAGATAGCCTATGTTAAGCCACAAAAAAACTCAACAAATTTTCAAAAGTTGAAACCATATCAAATATCTTCTCCAGTCACAATGGAATAAAACTGCAATTATACTCCAAGGGAAACTTTGGCAACTAGACAAGTACATGGAAATTAAACAACATGCTCCTGAATAACTATTGAGTCAACAGAGAAATTCAGATGGAAATCAAAAAGTTTCTTGAAACAAATTAAAATGGAAACACAACATATACCAAAACCTGTGGAATACAGTTAAACAAGGCTAAAAGGGACGTTTATAGCAATAAATGCCTACCTAAGAAAAGTAAAAACACTACAAATTAACAATATAACAATGAACCTGAAGGAACTAGAAAAGCAACAACAAACCACATCCAAAATTAGCAGAAAAAATAACAAAGATCAGAACAGAACCAAAGACTTCTAAAAACCAAGTAAATGATCAAGTGAAAAGATCGTTCTACAAAAAGATAAACAAAAGTGATAAACCACTAGCTAGACAAACCAAGAAACAAAGAGAGAAGACTCAAACAGAATCAGAAA